AGTACATTGGCAAAATAATTATTTATCACTCTTAAAAGCTTCCTTTAAAATTTCTATCATTCAAATACTGGCTGGGGAAAAAGTAAAGTACAGACAAGCATATTTTATGTACTTCCTAGTCTAGCTTTTATGCTGATGAGAACTTACTAAACACCAGTAAAGGGAATAGCAGTTATCAGCCCTGTTTCACAACTGTGAATTTTTTAGGCCAAACAGATGCCCTTGCAGAATCACAGCCAAGTGTTAATGACAGGCCCAATCCTTCTTCCACTGTAGTCAGTAGTTATTTCATACGGCTTCAAATTAGACCAGGTTTGCTCCAACGCTCTGAGCGAGCACGCTGCTCTAATTGAGACACTCATTGCCACAGGGAGGCGGATAGGGGCTTCTAACATCACCCAAAGAAAGGAAAATAAAAAATGACACTGTACTTTGCTGCAGGCTTTTTTCTTTGACGTATAGGATTCTTTTAAATTCTTTTTTTAGTTGATTAAAAATAATGGGAAGCAGACCTTCAACATGAAACCGGCTAAATACACTAAGAGATCTCTTTTAAAAGACATTTAAAATCTCCTCAAAATCTGTTCAGTGAATTTTGCCATCACTTATACCTGTACAACACCAGAATAGCTTGGAGTCCACCTTGGTAGCAGAGGACAGTCAAGAAGGGTTGGTGTCCATGTTTAGATCTGTGTTCCCAGACCCACCCATCAGTAGGAGAGTCTGCAAGAGAGCTGAATGGGCAGGACCCCAGTCAAGAGCTTTATACTGCAAAAAATCTTTGTCAGGCAAATCCATACTCTTGTCTTTACAAGGATTCAGGGTAAGAAAATTTAATCCCAGGTGTAAACATTTGCAAACTGAGGTTTATTTTTTCTATCTGCAACCACGCACTTGAAATGAACATTAAAAGGGCAAAACCATCCTAATCCTATCATGGCAATGTCTCTCTCTGCTTCCTAAAGCTGAGATTATCATCTCATTTGTTGTCACATAGCTCCTGAGAGAAGTAATTCACTTGATTTTCCTGTATAATCACAGCACAGGATTTTATTTCTGTTGTTATTGGAATGGAAAATGCACATAGCCTGTTCTCTGTCTTGCCCCTTTTAAGTTATGTACAGACCTGGATATGGCAAGCTTCAAAACACCCCAACTGCACTAAAGAAAACTAAATCTGTGCTCACTGTAAGTTTTAAGCAACCTGCTTGTTAGCAGCTCTTCTCAACAAAGGCAGGAAAATTTCCAGTTTTAAATTTCTATTCAAATTAAGGCAATGAATACTGAAGACCACAAAACTGTTGCCATTGCTTTCCAGCACATAAAATTAACAATTTGTGCTGCTGCGTGCAACTTTCAAAGTTTGTCTGATTTATAAGCAAGCAGATGGTTCACACGATAGTCCACAATAAATTACAACAGTTAGAAAGACAGCTACATTTTGAGAGTGACAGTGCAGCTGAGCTACAGATGGGTTTATAGATGACCCTTCCAATTTTTAATAATCTCCATAATTTATGTACAAGTAAAGAAATGCAAGGTTCCTAATGCACCTTCTTGACCAAGTACAAATCACTTTTATTTACACAGGCAATACTTCATGGTCCAGTTAACTTCTTAATTAGAGGCAGCAAGATGCTCATGTTCCATGCAAGCGGCATGGAAAATACTGTTTAGTGTGCAATATGTTCAGCTGGGAGTTTAAGATGCTCTGATCACTCTTGGAAAGGGAATGCATCTATCTCATTTCTTTAAAACAAGACTACACGGGTGCAAACACTGCTACCACCAGTTACTATTCATTAATCTCCAGATAAACTTTAGGCCCATGCAGTAACAAGGTATGTTTATTTGCAAGCTCTGATGCTTAGAAATAGGCTCCTAATCCAGGAGGCACTACAAAAGGAGTATTACTGAGCCAGGACTAGGATGGGGAAACAACAGGAACAGAGACCCTCGTTATACGAAGAGAGAGGGATTTGGGGGGGTCACTCTTGAATGGGTGAGGGAAAAGGAAAGCGAGCCTGGAGCGTGTCATTCCTGACAGAGGAGGCAGCGGTGATGCAGAAAGAAGCAGCTTTAAGAAGCCAGTTTGTATCAGTGATTTCAATGGCCACTTCTCCGGCATGGGACTGAACCACTTCGGTCCAATCCTTCTGCTAACATTTTTCAAGGGAGTCCCAGAAAGATGCCTTTGTTGGGTTGTCATCAATTGCATGCCACCGTACAACAGATTCAGTTCTTCTTGGTTGTAATTTCAGTTGCAATGAGTTACCTTCCAAAAGGAGCACAGCTAAATGCAACTACTCTGTCCAGAAGGTGATGAAGGGGGCAGTACCTACTGGAGATCTTTAAGGCACAAATTACAGAAGCTCAGAGGTTCCCACACGGCCAGTTGCTTGGGATGACTTTTGAGGGCTTTTCCTCCTCTCTAAACCTTGGTCTTCCCTTCCTGCCAAATTAATTTGAAGAAATCCACTTTTAAGTGGAAATTCAAAACTATCTTTAAACCAGAAGGCACAGCTCCTAGGAAAGCAAGTCTGTGTGTACTTTTAATTACCACCTTCCTGGGACTTAAGAGGTGCAGCAGAGAAGAGGCACCAGTGACAAATTCAGGCTTTCCAGAATTATCACAATTCATGTTTTGGAGATATTTTGGCAGGGATTGCCCAGCTCTGCCCACAGCAGGGCAGCGTGGGGAGCAGCACTGCAGAGACACACGAGTGGGAAAACCCACTCCACGGAGGTCACTTACGCAAAAAGTGATTCTTCCCCTGCCATGTCCACGCAGTACCAACGCCCTTTCATCTACTACACAGAATGATAGTGAAATTAAATATTTTTTTTTAAATTAAAGTCTTTATAAATAACCAGCATCTGAAAGTGTTTTGAGCTTTATATAAAACCATTATCTATTACTGTACACAACTTTTAGGTTGTTTAATTAAACATATGAAAAATATTATATGTCAGCTTATTTCTGGGATGCTCTTCACTTTACTGTTATTTGTCATATTGTTTCTGTTACATTTTGCATACTTAAAGCTGCATTATGCACTTCTGAAAACCCAGAGAAGATTACTATGGAATTAGTATGGATATTCATCTGTAGTACTGAGTGCCGAGTTTGGCACTTTTTTTAGCAATATTCATCAAGTTCAGGAATTGCTAGTACACTTCCCTCCAAGAGAATACTGGGTCATACTACTGTTCCTTAAAAAAATATAGCGTTGATTATTTAACCATATTTTTAAATATTCCGTAACTTTCATCCTTTGATTAACTGCAACTCTTTCATTTGCTTAAAAGACGCCAAATTCACACATAGCACAAGAAAGCAGAAGTTGACTGAAATCAATAGGATTGCCCCTGTTGCCCCCAGCCCAACAGTAATTCCAGCATTATCGTGAGCAACCTGAAAGCCAGCGCAGGCTATTCTAGTTTAACTCCACTGAGAAGTCAGAAAAACTATGCACATGGTTTATTTAACTCTATACTTAATACAGTTTCCAGGACGCATCTACTGAAGCCAGCGGGGATGCTCCAACTCACTAGGCTGTAGTAGATCAGACCTTCTGGCTTACAACTAGATCCTTCTCTGGCTAACAGCAAAAATAATCCTGGAGGCAGGATAATGCAAGGAAAACACACAAAGGCCTTACTTTATATTTCTTGTTCCTTGCATTCATTACACTGTCAATGGTGTGGGAACTAGTTTCATAACCTCAAGAAGGGGACACCTTTTGTTCCCCCTGCCATATTAAAATATAGATCAATATGGTAATATGTAAACAGTAAACTCCCCACTAGAAAGAAGCGGTTCTCAGTTCTCTTAGTAATCAAATACTATTTCCAGCAATCTAACTAGAGAAAAAGAAATGTAAGTAGCGATTTGTCAGTCTATTTATCAAACCGAGTGCTGCACCTTTTCCACACATTTTACGTTACAAAGTGCATGACATGTAAGGTTCTGCAGTTCTGTTTTAATTCAGGGATGAAAACATTTATAGATATGAACGTTTTCTCATTAACTTCTCTTCCTAAACGGTTATGCTTGTTCAAATCAATTCCTAGCCGTCTTACAGAGGTTACAACCTTCAATAATTAAATTGGATATTGTATTGGATGTTGTGTTGATTATGCTACAAGTTCCAATTTCTACAAGACCACTGAAATGCTGAGATAAAGGGATGTTAACTTCATTTAATTAGCTATCTGCCACTGTTATCAAAATGGAAGGTTGGTATCTGACTCAAATTAACACTTTGGATCAGGAAACAAGATAGATGACATCTTCTGAGAAGGATCCTGGAAACTCTCTATAATCGTTTCAGTTATTTTAAAGCTGCTCAGGACAAAAAGGATTGCATTAGAAAGAGCAAAAGTCACCGACAGTCAATGAAGTGCTGTATGAAAATGCTATTTCAATCACACTTGGGTTCTTTCTCATTTTCAGCTGTTAACATCCTTGCCATATTTGTCAAGCGGTCTCTCCTAGCAGCACTGAATTTTAACTGCACATATTTTTAAAACACAACATGAAATAGGACTGAGCACATAATATGGGTTTACTGTGCCAGCTAGCAACAGATCAGGCCCTTGTGCCAAGGCATCACCTCTCTGCAGAAAAGGAGTAACTAGTTAAACGTCAGCTGGATTTCACAACTGCCTGCCATCCCTCTACCTCAGAAACATTAGGCCTCTCAGTTGAGTGTTGTTTATGATTTATCTCAAAAGGAGACAAAACAACAATGGGAAATCTCAGAGGTCCTGGAAGCATTTTAACTACAAACTAAACCCACATGTATCAACCTAGCAACTGCCCAGAGGATATAGTATCCGGGTGAGGTACCCAAAGGACACCCACTGTCTCACTCCCCGAATTACATTTGTATAGAGTGGCCAAAGTAATTTATCTGATAACTATGCCACCCTGCCACTTCATGGTTTCTTACAGTTAGGGCTACAGAAACATGCTTATTCCTTTCCCAACAACTTACTGGTCTTGACCGGATTTCTTTGGCGTAGAGAGGTTTCAAGAATTCTGAATCTCCTTCGAGCTTTAGACCCTTTTCTGTGATTCTCAGGTTCCCCATTCCATCCTAAAACACAGACAAAAACAAAGCAACCCCATTAGTTACAATTACTAAATTCACCAGGCTGCCAATAGCTGATTTTTTTTTCCCCATAGAGGAGAACATGTAAAGCGCTGGGAGGCACTAGAGAATGCAATTACTTGTGTTATCCTTTTAGCTCTGTTTCTGTGAAAGAATTGCTATTCAGAGCAATCTGCAATGCCCCCCAGTAAACCTTTTACACAGATGAAAGACGTTCTTTTAAGCTAGTCATGTCTACTCAAAGAGATGCAGCGATGCTCTGTGTTAACAGGAAACTATTCACTGTAATATTCACCTGCTGCCTATATATAAATATACCTTCTCATTCATAGCAAATCCATATAAAGACTATGTGATTAATTCTACTGAACTCCCTATAGAGAATATGTGATTAATTCCACTACACTGACAAAATAAGGTTTGGCTATGTAGGAGTATTGCAATAAAATGTGGTGGGGAACTTGACCCCTGTTATTTGGGGAAATCTCTGCAAAACGTGGACTCTTTGGTGGGGTTTCTTTAGGGCTATCGGCCCTTACAGCAAAAAGATGTGGAAACCTGTGGATTAGTTTCAAGTCTCTCAGTCCTTCCTGCGCTTTCAATATTGTTAAGATGCTACACAGCTTTATTGGAATATACAGTTATGCAAATATTTGCTCTGGGAGAAACAACTACACAACAGGAATATCTTTCCAACAGACTGCTCTCCTGTCTTGGACTAACTCCTCTGACTTTTCTCTCCCACAATGATCAGCTCAGGATTGGAGCCCTCGCTCTGCTCCTTGCACCGCCCAAGCACATCCCAACGATCTGAACCTCTATATCCAAATGTGTGGGTCTCCTGAGTCATTCTCCTGCCCTTCAAACAACCATTGCAAAGTCCATTTGCCAGGCATTAAGTGACTGATGTAACATGCATTTCTGTCCTCTCCTCATTCAGATTTCATAGTTGCAGCTATCAGTCCTGACCCTCTCTCCAGCCCTGCACCAGGCTCCCTCCATCCCCACTGCTCCCTGCGCTTCCATGGCAAAAATCTTCTTGACAAATGGTGTGAAGTGTTCGCTGCAGGCCCCCAGCAGATGACTGCAAATAGTCCATTTTCTTTAGAAATTGTTTAGTTATGTGTGTCCAAGATGTAATGAAACATCTGACAAACCGTAACAGCAAACAAAATATATGTCAAAATTTTATACAAGTTTTTCTTACAGTTTTTATGCAATAAGACAGGTATACGGATACACTGGCACAGAGCAGAATTGGACCAAACTATATTTCACCTTTAACTTGTGAAAGTCGTAACTTTTACTAAGATGAGGGATTTAGGTTCATTTAGGCTATAATTGCTTAGAAAGGGGTGTGCGTGTGTGTAAGAAACATGGTGTGGAGAGGGAACTGCAAAGGTAAATGTATAATCAAAACCACATCAAATGCAAGGTATTATTTCTAAGATTCAGGGTGATTGTCAAAGTCTGCAAGGATTGAGGTAAGTTGTTTTTTTTTTTTTTCTGAGAAAAAGATGGTCTGAAGAATACCTTTCAGCATAAGTTTGACTGACATCACTAGGACTTGAGACTGACGCTAGCAAAAGCTATGTCTCTGCATGTATAAATTAAGGTTGGGAAATGACCAAGAGTTGGGTAGTCAAGAACAGGCCTGACAATCCTTAAACATACCCCTTAAGGAATCTTTCCACCTGTTTTTTTTTTCCATTTCTCCAGGCTAGAGAAGCAGGAGGATGATGCTAATATGATGCCTCGGGCCTCCGAGATAAGGCAGGACACAATAATCACAAAACCTACAATAGCTGGAGCTCAGTTTGGGGAGGACATTGCAATGAGGGACACACACATCAGCACTTACAGCAACAGGATTGATGTTACAGTGAGAGAGACACTGAAACCAAGGGCCACGCAGGCCGCAGGATGGCAGGAGTAGTAATTTGGAGGAATTACTGATCTATAAATATGGACATGTCATACTGACATGGCGTCTCATCATGCAATTTAGGGACTCATTGAGAGGGACTGGGCTGCCTTCTTCCCAGTTGCTGCTAGGCATGTCCTTAAACACTGAAGTTCAAATCAAAAGAGCCACCTCAGCGCCTAACTCACAGCTCTTTCAGGGATTTTAGAGGAAAGGGGTATGTACTTGGGTAGAAGCCCTAAGAAGATCAAGAGAAGACTGGGAAAATCCAGGAAAACCACATGTATTTGCACCTACATCTTGCAAGTTTTCTAATCCAAAAATAATCTGTGCAAAAAATAAAGCACATCTGCCTACCTTCTCCTCCTCCCATTGCGTGTGCACCTCCAGCACCACAAGAGGAATCACTGTCACTAAAGGTGAATGGCTAACCAAAACAGATTTGAATGATCTATTGCCAAAAGGCAAGAATTTTGAGGGATAAAAATGAAAGACAAGCACAGCTCAGCAGTGACACCGGTCACTTGCCAGAGGTTCTCCCGTTCCAAGAAGTATCGCTCCCAGGGTGTACCCTGCCAAGTAGAGATCGTTTTTGCCATAGCGTGGTGTCTTATGAACAAAGACAGGCTCAGGAGTGCTGGGTGATAAAGTGACTGCTGCCATCTCATTTTGAAATGAAAGCTGTAAGCAAACTTTAAAGAGAGACATATGCTGAAAACACTATTGATTGTTGAAGGGAGGGGAATGAGAGACGGGTCATAAAGTGTCAGTTGCTACATTCCTTGTCCCAGGTGTAAAATATTGGCTTATGAATTCTGGGTTGGTGGTGGCATAGAAGGGGTTCATTTATCTCAAACAAAAGTATGAAGGAAAATGAGTGAAATATGATTATGCACCAAAGAGCCCAGATTAAATTTCGATAGTGGTATGCTTTGCGATTTGAGTGTTATTTCAGCTATCTGCAGACCCTCACACGTTTTGTGCTGCTAAAAAAACTCTACAATTTTTTTCCCAAAATAGGTATTTCAGTAAGGTTACAAGCCCTGAGGGTTTTCACATTGCAGGCTCTTCTCTGGTTTCATTAAGAAAAGTTGCAGGTCATGCGAGCTGGTATATGCCACAAATAGCTGCAAGAATGACCACCTCTGTGGATATGCAATCCTGACCACTTCCAGGGCTTGCCCCTGAGCTGAAGTGGGGCAATACTTTACCAGTAACATGGACCAATGGATAAAGGGACTTGTCAAGTCACCACTGAAGCGATGGAAAACCAGCAACTTTGATGGCTCACAACTGTATTCTGAGCAGTGATACAGATCCAGCATTCCACCCCACTCCTCTCTTGCGTGTTTCTCTTCCTTTCTCTCCTTCATCCTCTGTCTGCCAAGTATTCCCCATAGGATTGTTACATATGAAAAACACACATATGGGACATTTAGCTCACAGCTAGCAGGTCCTATACAGCCCAAAAGAGGTATCAAGCCTATGGGACAATGTACTACAACCAAAACATCAAGAACACATTTGATTTATATCATCTAAGCAGGCATATTCTCTTACAAAACTACTGGGTTGGTGAAAAAGAGACACTTCCCTGTGTTATTCTTCTCAACCTTTGATCCTTCTCAACCTCCGACCCCACTCACCTTTCTCCTCCTGCGGCTGCCAAACCTAATAAAAGCTGCACTCACCAGACATTACCTCTTGACTTCCCTGGTGTTTGGGATCGGGATGCAATGCTCAGCACTGACTCTTACCACGATTAACTCTCTGCTGCTCATGTTTCTCATGATTAAAGATGACAACTTTTTGTAGTGACAGCCTGGGGCAGCAGGTCAAAAAACAAGCAAAGGTTGTAATCTGAGTTTAAAGTTAACGAGTATCCTGGCCTCTTGGAGTACAACCATTATTAAATCATATGCATTTATTATTTCCCATTAGAAAAAAAATAAGCAGCTTGCAGAATTATACAGAGATCCGAAAATACAGATACATTGGAGAGAAATCATTGTATGAAAGACTACCTCGCATGTTGTTTTGGATAAAGCATCTTCATCCTCCCTAAATTATACTGTTTAATAACAAATAAATGTCATACTCTGCTACAGAGAATATATATGAAAGTTCCTATGAAATTTCATGGACCGTGACCTATAAAATGTAGCAGAAAGCTGGCCAGAGTGACAGAGACCACAAGTTTGTATTAAACATTGTGTCTGTGATTGGTATAAATCCTTATCTGCCACTCTATTGCTTGTGAATAAGGAAAAAAAAGCAGTATTATCTGAGACACTGACATCTGACAATCTTTGTTTCTCCCCTTTTTATTAGTAGACCCCTCAGCGGAGAGTGAATGACTTTATTGTGCAGGCACTAACCAGCTTTGTGGGAGCTTCCAGGAGGCAAGCTCCAAACAGGAGGCACAGAGTCGGGAACTTTCCATTACCACCTGCTTTGAATTATTTGGCTTTTTAGTAGAGCCTGGTGAAAACCTTCACATCGATTTTATCATCTGCACCCCCTCTCTTTTTATGCAATGCCTTGTAATGGGCAGGCATAAAAATTTATGTGCTATTGCTGACTGCTCTGTGTTGAAAGGGGAGAGCAATGGTAAAATCCTGAATAACAGAAATGTCATTTTGGTGATGCTGAATGAGAAAGGAATTCTTTTTTTTTCAGTAGCTTGAGAAGCAACTCAGTTTTACAACTGTTGTGGTTTAACCCGACGGGCAGCTAAACCCCACACAGCCGTTTGCTCACTCCCCCCTCAGTGGGATGGGGGAGAGAATCGGCGGGGGGGAGGAATAAATAAAAAATTCATAGCTTGAGATAAAGACAGTTTAATAGGACAGATAAGGAAGGGAAAATAATAATAATGATAAAAGAATATACAAAACAAGTGATGCACAATGCAATTTCTCAACA